TTTTTTTTTTTTTATCCTGTTAAATCTTTTTTTTTTTAATTCATTTAATCTTCCCAACTCAGAAAGGGCAGTTTTGAAATTTTAATTTCTCTGTTTGGAGGTAAATTCGTTAATTCTTCTCTGAATTAATTTTTTTTTTATTAACTCTATTTTGTGTTTCAGAATTACGGAGCATGCCATCAATGGCAGACCTCAAGGAGCGGCTGCTTCCGCCCAAACCAGCGTCGGCGGTCAACCTTAGAGATCATGGTTTCCGGTCGTCAGGCTCTTCACGTCACACTTTTCAGGGAATGGATGCCTTGAAGAAGCGGGGGCAAGGTCTTCGATCTTGGATTCGAGTTGATGCCACTGGAAACTCTCAAGTTATTGAAGTCGACAAGTTTAGCATGATGCGTCGTTGCGATCTTCCTGCGCGTGATCTACGCCTCCTCGATCCTCTGTTTGTTTATCCATCAACGATTCTCGGTAGAGAGAAGGCTATCGTGGTCAATTTGGAGCAGATAAGGTGCATCATCACCGCTGATGAGGTACTCCTCTTAAATTCCCTCGACAGTTACGTTCTACAGTATGTGGTTGAGCTGCAAAAACGGCTGACAACGACTGGAGTCGGTGATGTCTGGCAATCAGATGCGGCTGATTCGAACCGGAGACGAAGTAGGAATTTTGACAATGTTTTCGGGAACACATCCCCTGATTATTTACCCTTTGAGTTTAGGGCTCTTGAAGTTGCTTTGGAAGCCGCTTGCACATTTCTTGATTCACAGGTGCGTATAAGAGAGGATTTAATTATTATTATATGTGTTTTTGATGGGGTGGCTGACTGATGATGAATTGATTAAACTGGTTAGTACTACCTTCATTATAGACTTGGAATTATTCAGGCAAATGAAATGGGATTATAGTCATTATGATGCCAGTGTTAAGCTGTGCAGACATTGAAACGCCATTATGAACTGCATTTTTTCTCTCTAACTCTGTATTTTTGTGATTCATCACATGGGCAATTTGGAGTGAGTATTATCTGTTTATAGACTTGGGATGGATGCAACTCCAAAATATTAATTCTAGAAATAGAATAGTAGTATTCCACTATCCAGCTTTGTTGTAGATGGAGTTGAATTGTCTGCTTGATTGACTATTGAGCTTTTTAGGCATGATGCTTCTGTCATTTTGGGATGTTCCATGTTATATTCATTGCCCCAAAAATGAAAATCCGTATTAGTGAATTAAAACATAAAAGACTGTCTTCTAAGGCCCCTGAAATACAGCCATGTAAATAAAGCACCTTACTTAAACCAAGAATTCTAGGTAGGAAATGATATATTGGAAAGTTCTTTTCTTTATATGTATGAGAATTCATAAATTTTTTTTTTTTTTTGTTGGGATAAGATAACCAAAGCACGGAGATATCTGTAAGTACGTTTCAAAAATGTATTCTTCTCGTCTTCCTCAGTTTAAGACATTGAGGGAGAATGAATGAAAGTACAGATTGGTATCTCATTTCTGCAAATTCACATTTGAACTTCGTTCTTACTCACCTGTAAGGTCACAGATGTTTCATGTCCTTCATCTTTGTTTATTTAGCTGTGCACCATCTTTATATCGTTTCAAGATCTTTACCTTCTAACCCACTATCTAAAATCAGAGTCATTTATAAACCATCTGGTACAATCTCTTGAGACATATTGATGAAGCTCCATTATATTCAGCTATTCCCTTGTTTCTTACATTAATATCAAGCTATCAAGCATTTTCTATTGTGGCCTAAAGCTAACTTAAAGCCTTGATCTGATATTACATGGTATAAGTCTCTGTCTCTGAGCCTTCTTTCACATATACATGGATGTATATGAACACAAATGTCTAAAATACCTAGAATATGAAATATATCTAACTGTTATCTGTCTATTTCAGAAGTGATAATCCATTTAATTAACTTGTGTTTGGATGGGAGGCTGATAAAAGTGGCATCTACAGATTTGGTCCCTTGACCAATTAGACAGGAATAAGTAAGATGTAGTATTCTCGACAAATTTATGTTATGTAGTATTCTGAACATTTATGTAGTCTATAAAGATCTGATGTAAAATTTCTTATAACTTTTGTTGTGGAAAACCTCATAATCTATTTGATTAACAAGAAATCTAGATTTTTGTCCAGGAAAACAACCATATGATCTCCTTTAAACTTGCTTTCAAAGTTATCTGTTTCTTTTGCATGGAACAGAAACTTTAATAGCCCATTATTTGCTGTCTAGAATTCCTGTTAATTCATTACCGTAGAGGATGTGGATTCCACCTGATGGCCTACAGTTGTTGGAAGCCCTCTCTCGTAATTGTTTGTACTTGAGAGAGATCCTTGTTCCTAATATTACAGAAACAAGATGATGTCAAATCTTTCGGAAATAGATTTTATTGTTAGCTGCACTCAGGCTGGTGAAGTGGGAGCAAGGAATTAATTGCTAGAAGTGAACTTTTAGGTTGTGGTACTATCACCCTAATGAGTCAGGTTTCCAATTGAGTTGTGGATTGTCATGTGTTTAAATGTTTTTAAATGTTTTCATTTCTTGTTTTGTTAAATAAACTTCTTATATTGAAAAGTTCGGAGGCAGAACCAAAAGACATCACATGGCGACTTCTTAGTTCATATTAGAAAAAGTGTTTCTTTATTTTATTTTATTTTCTTCTTTTCCTTTTATTACAATGTTATATGTTCAAAGATGCTTGTCTAATAAGATCTTTGAAGTTTTGTCATTTTTTATTTTACCAAAATTTTGTAATGCAAGAAGTAGAAAGTGGATTCTTGCTTGTGGCAGGCATGAACTGAATGGAAATAGAATGATAGAATGGATTTTCTTCTGTTACTGGATTTTATTCAATTCCTTTAACAATAGTATTATCCGTCATGCCTGGCTTTAAAATTTCCTTTTAATCAACTTTTGAAATTCATTTAATATTTGGAAATTTTTTAAAGGCACAAGAATTAGAAATTGAAGCATATCCATTACTAGATGAGCTTACCTCAAAGATCAGTACATTAAATTTGGAACGAGTTCGCAGATTAAAGAGCAGACTTGTTGCATTGACTCGAAGAGTTCAGAAGGTATAGAATGGTCATACTTTTTCTTATTTTATCCAATTGAATGGTAAGCTAAAATTTTCTCTGCTTCCTCATTCTTTGGGCATCTACTTTAGGTTAGGGATGAGATAGAGCAGCTAATGGATGATGATGGAGATATGGCAGAAATGTATCTTACAGAGAAAAAGAGTAGAATGGAGTCATCATGTTATGGTGACCAATCTGTGATGGGATTCAGATCAAATGATGGACTGTCAGCTTCTGCTCCAGTCTCTCCTGTTTCTTCACCCCCTGATTCCCGGAGACTTGAGAAAAGTTTAAGCATTGCTAGAAGCCGTCTTGATAGCATGAGGAGTTCTGAGAGTGCTACAGATAGTATAGAAGAGCTGGAGATGTTGCTCGAAGCATACTTTGTTGTCATTGATAGCACCCTAAACAAGTTGACATCAGTATGTGAAACATTCATATTGTGTAAACTCTTCTCATCTCCATTCTTGTTGGGTGAAAGCAATTTATTTATCATATTCATTTTGTTTTAGTTGAAGGAGTACATTGATGACACAGAGGATTTTATCAACATTCAGCTGGTACGTAAAGTTCCTTATTTTACTCCTTGATGAATAAGCAGGCCTCTACCTTGGTCCTAGAGAAGATTTTCTGTGAAACATACAAAACTCCACTGATAGGAAGAATAACAGAAGCATGCATTTGATCTTCCCCTAATTGGGATCTTTGAATTACACCAGAATTTATATGAAGTATTTGAATTTTGGATGTGTATTGATCAACTTTTTGCCTGCAGGATAATGTTCGAAACCAACTGATCCAGTTTGAGCTGCTACTCACGACAGCTACATTTGTTGTTGCCATTTTTGGTGTCGTAGCAGGGATATTTGGAATGAATTTTGATATCCCATTGTTTGACGATGCTGGTGCATTTAAGTGGGTTCTCCTTATTACTGGAATATGTGGGATCACTATATTTTCTGCATTTGTGTGGTTCTTCAAGTACAGACGACTTATGCCACTATAAGGAAATTGCAATTCAGCCAGGTTAGAAAGGAGAAAAAGAAAAAGGATTATTTCTATTATTGTCTTCATCCCATTACTTGAGCACTTATGTAGATCGAATCAAAAATAGAAAAAAGGCAAAATGCTCTAATTGAGAGCAATTCTTTCGTTCCACCTCAGTTTATTGACCTTTTTGAGTGTAACATAGCCCTACCTGTATGTCATGTAAATATTTTAGCTATAATTTGCATAGAGCGTTTAGGGGCCTTCTCCTTCCAGTTTCTTTCTTCATTGTTTGAAGGAGAATGTCCCATCAACGCCTAAAGGAAGGGAAGAAGATTGCCTCTTGTCAATGAAAGGGTATCATGGGACTAGCAATACCTGGCCTGAGTAAATTTGGGGCCAAGCTTATTTTCTTACTTATAAGCACTTTTAAAAACTAGCTTATAAGCACTTAAAATGCTTAAAAGCAACATTTTCTTCTAAAAAATTTTCATGCTTAAGAGAAAAGAAGTGTTTCCTTGACAAATAAGCTCTGCCAAACGGCTCCAAATTACAATGAAAGGGAAACGCAAGTCATTGCAAAGACAAGATCACATATTGGTAAAAAGACTAGTGTTCATTCATCAAAGGGATGTTTTTGTTCCTAAGCAAAGTACATGATACCAGAAAAATTCTATGTTATTTCATATCCCACTTTTCACCCGTGGGATTAACAATCTCATCACATGAGGACGATAAAAGGACAGAGTAATGAACAGCAAGAAGCTTGTATGCTGACTAACTATCAAAAAGTTTGTTGCAGAAAAACGTTTCCATTTGATAATGACTCCCTTATTGTTTAGAAGAAGATGAAGCAGAAGATAGCCGCTGACTCCGTGCTTTGTCAGCTCTTTCCATGTAATCTTGGTGTGATTGATGCTTTGCTCCTACAGAGGATCAGAGATTTGTTAGTTTTAAGGTCAACAAAATACAAATATAATGAACTAATGCATACCAGAGACAAATATATGACATTATACAAGCAATTTAATCAAATAGTTGGTTACTGTTGTTCACTAGTCAACTAAAAATATTCAACTTAACCCAGAGGAGGGGTTTACGGTTATTTCCAACGAGAGTCCACAAGTATGCAAAACAATAAAGAGGGTTTTCAGTGTGTTGCCATAAACTTACTGTGAGAAGCACATCAGCTAAGGATTGTTACTACTATCAATTCAATAACTAGGAATCATGTATTGCATGTGTTCATTATCCACAATTAAGTTGTAAATTAACTTAGAGTCTTGTATTTACAATGACCCAAAAAATGAAAAAAAGAGTTGAATTTACATTATTGGTGCATAAACAGGATGGCTGTCAATCTACAACTATCTTGTATTACATCCCTTTATCAAAATTTAAAAACCAAAAAAAAAGAAAAAAGAAAAAAAAAAAGAAAAAAAAAAGAAAGTTACTCTCAGATAAAATGAAAAATAATCATGTACATCAAATGTTCTCTGTTCTTGTTCTTGTAAACTTTAAGAAAGGGTTTATAGAATGTTGAGTGATTTTTCTTTCCAACAGATTTTGACCCAGTTGAACAACAAAATGAAACGGAAAAATTTTCACTTTTTGTGTATAATCTCACTACTTCTAAGAAATTGCACTGATACTGTTTAATCCCCCAATATTCCCATCAAGACTTACCAATAACTAAAAGAAACAAGAGAATAATTTGCCATCGCTGCAACTTATTTCCTAGAAGTCACTGGCATCATGCAAAACATGAGTAATACTGCATGCTAGATTAGAGACACATTTCATGCATGAATGTCTTCCTAACAGTTTTCCCGTTAAATTGTCAAATATGTTTAAACCTAAGCAGAAAATCATAGGTGTGAAACCATAAAATTTGGAAAAAATTACTTAAAGATTAGTTAATGAGTTTTATGCTCAGTTAGTCTGCAACCATATTACAAGAAATGCTGAAGAAAAAACTGATTTTCTGCTGCCACATGACACTATATTCCTTTTATTTCTCTTATAGATTTTGTACACTTTACTTTCCACAAGTTCTCTTTGTCTTATACAATATTTATCAAGGTAAAAAAGGAGAGAAAAAGGAAACAACTGGAGATGTTTGATCCACATGTATCTATAGCCTCATTAGAATGATGAACTGAAAGCGGTTGAAGTTGTTTTGATACAATTAATAATTTGATACAAAATTCAGACAGATTTCTACCCTCATCATGTTGATGCACACCAACAATGCTACTGGCAATATACTTTAGAATTAGATGATGTGGAGACAACCTTCTCCCCTAGGCCCTAGAAGCAAATTACTTCACAGTTAACATGATGTGAAAACTAAACCAACAAACATAGCGAAGTAACAACCTTCTCTAAACTCTCAGCCAAAAACTACTCACCTTACAGTAGCCATGGTTTTATTTCCACCAAAATATGAAATAGACCTACTCTGAGAAAATTTCTCACAGAAAATTAACATTATCTCCAAAGAAGAAGTGACTATTATTACTCTAGTCTGGAAATAAAATAATAATTACAGTAAAAGGGGATGATGAGGCCTAAAAACCCTGGAATCATGGAGAAGTCAAATTAAACACAACCTCAGTTGTAACTCCACTCTCCTCTTCTGAACAGAACTTACCCTCAAAAGTATCTCAGAGAAAACTCACAAGAAATGTAAGTTCCCTTGAGAAAGCAATAACTTAGATAGGAAAGGTCTGCAATGTTTTCACTGACAGACCCCTTGAACTGACTCAATCTTGCTTTAAACTGGTTAAAGAAAGCAACTTAAATATACTTTAAAGCAAAATAAACACCAAATCATATAAATTTTCCCCACGCTATAATTCATCCTCCATTAATCTTAAAACTTCTTAGAAATAAATAATAAAAGGGACAAGCAGCCTCCACAGCTACGGAAGGAGGTGAAAGTAAACTCCAACCTTAAATTCAGTAAAAATAACCAATTTAAACTCCAATTCAGTTGTTCATCTATGAGAACTACAACTATTGACCCTATGGAGATGCTATTGGACCTTCCTAATTGTTTCCCTTAGATATTCTTCTGAATCCTTGGATTATCAGGATAATCCAGAAACCCCAATCATATTATTTACAGAAAGCTTCCATCTTGCTCCTAAAATCATCAAGTTCTTTCATTTTTTTGCACCATGAAAACCAATTTATTCGCATTTTTTTATGTGCCCAAGTAGGGATAGATAAAAACAAATCCAATTCAAGTCCAAAAACCGAAACTTTGAGGACAAAGATACATGATAGTGACGATAATTAGTAAAAGAAGTAAAGAGAGAAACAAACCTCGATTCATGAAATACCAAGGGGCACCAAAGATGACGGCGATGATAGCGATGCCAGCCATGACGTGCTTCTTGTCTCCACTGTACAAGAAATGCTCCATTCTCGACTTGAACCCTCCTCCCACATTGCCGCCGCCCCCACCGCCACCGCCACCGCCACCGCCTGTGCCTTTGGTCTCGCTTGCCATGCCCTCTCACACCCACCTTCGTTTTCTTCTCTCCCCCCCTTCTGCTTATTTTGGTTTTGCCCTTATTACTCGGTCAGAGGCTGCGAATCGTAGTTACTGGAGCCTCAACCTACACCATCGCAAACCCGGTTTAATTCTTGGTTTAGATATTGAACCGCATATTTATTTATTTATTTCTTTTTGTCAATATTTATTTTGTCACATAAGCTGTTTAATAATGGATTGAAAATGGTGGAATTTTATGATGTTGGAAAAAGAAAAAATAACTCTTTGAAGAATCCATTGCTTTTCTTTCATTTTTACGCCTCTGAGTATTGCACGAAAAAATTAATAATTTTTGTAATGAAATTTTATGAGGATTGTAAATTTTTTTATATTTGATAAAAAATTAATAAAAAATATCAAATAAACTCTTTGTTAGAAAAGTTGGGGTAAAATTTTTTTTTTTAGAAAAAGTGAGAAAAAAGATTATTTAACACAAAATAAGAAAAATAAAAATTAAAAATACTATTGGAAAGTTGGTTTTCCCAACCAAACGCGCCCTAAATGTTTTATGTTTGTGCCCTTTGTAATTTTGCTGCAAGTCATTAGATGGCTTTTGATTCAATTAACAAATTTCTCCCGCTATAAGCGTCATGCTACCTCTCTGCTAACCTCCGATGGCACTCTTCTCCATCGCCAGAAGGCTGCGAAGAACCCACCCTCAACTCCTACTTTCCTTTCCCCTTAAACACCCAAATCTTCATTTACCCTCTCTTCTTGGCTCGAGTGAGAAATTTATCACTCTCTCTTTGGCATTTCATCGAACACATCCAATATACTCTCGCCCCGCCATTTTCACTCCCCATTTCTCCACTCTTCAATCCTTCTCCACCCAAACTCTCACCAACCCGTTTGACTTCACTGGATCCCCAACTCATGATCGTGATCCGCAGGAGCCGGCCCTTCTCGATTTGCTCAAGCGGGTCGCCCATCTTGACTCTGAAACTGAGGCCGTCGCTTCTCTTGACAATTCAGGCATCAAGGCAACTCAAGATTTGATTTTTTCGGTGATTTGGACATTGAGGGAGGAGTGGAGACTGGCCTTTTTGGCTTTCAAGTGGGGTGAGAAATGGAGTTGCAGTGGTCAAAAAGCTTGTGAGTTGATGGTGTGGATATTGGGTAATCATAGCAAGTTCAATATTGCTTGGTGTTTGATTCGTGATTTATATCATTCTTCCATGGATACGAGGCGGGCTATGTTTATTATGATTGATAGGTGAGTCTGAGCGCTACATTTGAGTTTTGATTCTTTTTAGGAAGTACCCAATTCACAAAATTCTAGTGATTTCCTATTCTTTGACATTTTTAATTTTTTATACCATGCGTTGATATGTTATAATACCGCCACTAGCCTTCATAATATATTCAAGCTCGAGCAGTTTATATTTTAGGTGTGACTAGTCTTTTCATTGCTTGCAACAAAATATCTACCTTGTAGTTTCAATAAATTTAGAAATGTATTGGTCTTTATACTTGATGTCCACATAACAATCTACACTAGTAATTTCGACATCAACAACATTTTGATGAGTTTTCAGTTTTATTTCTCTAAGTTTGATTATCTTAGCACCCCTTAATTTGCAATAACTAAATGCATTATTGTGGTTTGGTTTCTATAGCAGTTTCTTTGAAATTGATTTATTCCATTTTGCTTCCCTTATAATTAAAGACAAGAGTCGGTGAGGAAATATATTTGATTCATTAGAATTGTTAACTTTTCTAGAAGCATGGTGATAAATACCACTGACCTAAAACTTTTTCATAGGAGTTGTAAGGAAAATGGGTATGAAAGGGGAGAATAATTGTTCTATCAGAGCTCCTAATCTACTATAACTATATATATATATATTTTTTTCCAATTATTATTCTCTTCATTCAAACTACTGTTATAAAGTTCTTAAATGATCAATTATTTTTCCTCCGTGTTCTGTTACAGTTTGGTAATTGAACTTCATGTTTTTTCTTCATATAGATGGGGTTATTCCTTTTGTTATTTTATTCCACTTTATGTTTGTAGCATTTTGCATTTTCCTTATAAAAATTCCATAATCAAGGTCAAGTGTGTTCATGGGGTCTCATAGAGTCATGATTTTGTTTTCCATAATTTCACTTTGAAAGATCTTTAGATCTTATTTTTTTTTTTTTTTTCCGTTTTTGATCCTTTTCCTTCTTCTTCTTTTTTTTTTCCTCCGTTTCATGTCTGTCAGATATGCAGCTGCAAATGATCCATGCAAGGCTATTCGAACTTTCCACATCATGGAGAAGTTCAGAATGACACCAGATGAGGAAGCATTTCAGACCCTTTTGAAAGCTCTTTGTAAACATGGCAATATTGAAGAGGCTGAAGAGTTAATGCTCTCAAATAAGAAGCTCTTCCCACTTGAGACTGAAAGCTTTAACATTATTTTGAATGGTTGGTGCACTATTTCAGTCGATGTATTTGAAGCAAAACGAGTTTGGAGAGAGATGTCAAAATGCTGTGTTACACCTGATGCAACTTCTTACACCCTCATGATTTGCTGTTTCTCTAAAGTTGGGAATCTCTTTGACTCACTTAGGCTCTATGATGAAATGAAGAAAAGAGGTTGGGCTGCAGGTATTGAGGTCTATAATTCTTTGGTTTATGTCCTAACTCGAGATAATTGCTTGAATGAAGCCCATAAGATCCTAGATAAAATGAGAGAAGCTGGATCGCAGCCAGATTCTACAACTTACAACTCAATGATACGTCCTCTTTGTGAAGCAGCAAAGGTAGATGAGGCAAGAAATTTACTTTCGACTATGATCTCAGAGAAACTTAGTCCAACTGTTGAGACCTACCATGCTTTTCTTGAGGGTGTTGATTTTGAAGGAACTTTGGAGTTTCTTAACCATATGAGGATGGTTGGTCTGTGTCCTACTCATGATACCTTTCTCTTAGTTCTTGGCAAGTTCTTCAAAATAGAGCAACCTGAGAATGCATTGAAGATTTGGACAGAAATGGAGCAGTTTGAAATAGTACCTGATTACAGTCATTACATAACATTGATAAAAGGGCTAGCAACATGTGGATGGTTGGTAAAAGCCAGGGAGCTCTATGCTGAGATGATGTCAAATGGATTTTTGGATGATCCGAAGCTAAAGAAGTTATTGCAGGAGCCAGTGCGAAGCAGTGGCAACAAGAGACAGAGTTTGAGAAAGGTCGACGGAAGCAAACAAGTGAAGAAGTGGAAAGGTAAGATGAGACGGAAAAAAAGTCACCATCAATCAAATAAGGACTCTATTTGAAATTCTATCTGAAGCTGGAAATATCATTATTCTTCTTGTGGATATTACTATTGCCTCAGACATAAGGAGCGCTTAGTGGCTTCTTTTTATACTGTTGGAAGTACCAAAAGGTATTTTCTGTATGAGGTCTATGCTTAATGGCTTTAGTCTGACGACTGTATATGCTTTAACCTGAGAATATCTGTTTGAAATAGTGAAGAATTTCAATCTATATATTTTACTCAGTAGTTTGGTAGAGTGTCCTTTAACTGTACATTGCTGGAGATTCCTTTGATGAATGGACAAAATAATTCTGAAGCAATACTGCAATAGCATGGCAATCCATTAACTTCTATCCTCCACGGTTGATAGAGCTGTAGACAGTCAAGTGAAATTCAGTTTGAACATATTGAGGAAAGGTTGATGAGGCGCAAAAGGAAATAATTTTGCAATGAAAGCACAGACATGCCAATAGAGATACTTATTTGGGGTTGCATCAGCATCATAATTAATAAAAACAAAGTATGAAAGCCAGAAGGATTGTCGCTTGATCAAACATGTTCTCTTGTTGCCAACATTGTCAAGAAAATCAAAGCTTGGCCAGATGGAATATCTGGAGCCAATTATTGCTGTACTTTCCTGGTAAGAACCTGCTTTTATACTAAACATATTCATTTCTTGAGAAAAGTGAATGCTTAGGTTTTTCACAAATGACTCCAAGAAGTTATGTTTCTTTGACTCTGGCAATAAGAATTTTTATGGTTTTATCTATTATTATCTGGTGTATGTCTAGGGCTGACAATTGTGAGGATGCAGATTTAAGTCTTGAGAGCAGCCACTTCAGCAAAAAGTTAAAGTAGCGGCATTGTTTCCATTTCACCTCTTTGACCACCGTGCTTTGGTTTAGTCATAACTGGTAATGATTGCTATAACTTCATCTGCTATGGTTCTGGTTAGTTTCTGACATTGCAAATGGGATAATGTATTTGTTTGTAATACTTGTGTCCTTAATCTCTATAAATATTGTGAACATATTTCTTGATGCCAAGTTTGCTGCTGTTTGTGTATTAGATTTCTTGTAATTGACCTTTCTCTGAGGATGTAGTATTTCAATTCTTCAAGTTAGGGATGAGCAAACAACTTTTGAAGATCCAGTCTCATCAATTTTTCAGTAATGAGCCATGGACTTTTACTTTACAAGCCAGCAATTCTGATTAAGGGATTGATATCAATGATTTTCCTCTACATTTGAACTTCTTATTTCTGTTTCTACCTCACCATATGATGCGCATCTTTAATTACTTGCAATAAAAACCCAAAATCATAGAAAAGATCATATGTTACGTAGTGGTATATCGACTTGAGAGTTTGTCATCTCCTTGTATGCATTGAGTACTTGGGACCTTTCCTACTATTGCTGATTGGATTTAGATATGAAACAAAAAAAGGGGTTATTGGACTGACAATCACCATGTTGCCAGGTTTTGAGTTTCTTTCTTATTCCTTCTAAGATTTCTAAACTGTAAAATGCGTCAGCCATCCGGAGGACTAGAGGTTCATTGCAAAGATGGAAGATGCTTGTACAGGACTTGCAAAATACCTTTTCTAGTGCAGGATTTCTTCTTTTTTTTTTTTCTTCACTGTTTTGGGTTTGGGAAAATATGATAAAAATAAAAAGAGAACAAGTATGAAAAAAGGGGTTTTTATCGAATTTCGCTGACTTTATTTAGGCGCACTTATCTTTCCTTGGAAACGAAGAAAGGAAGAATTAGGTGAACTTAAACAAGCAACTGGACTTAGCTCTTTTTTTCCTTCTTTTTTTTTTTTTTGAACTAATACAGTCGGGGAGATTGAAGATGGAGATTGTCAAAACTTAAACCTTGACCTTTAGATGTCATTATCTTTTGTAAAGAAATTGTGGTCATTAAGTTACAATGGTAGTTGGGGACTTAGCTCAACTTGTATTAACTTTCAAAATGAGATTTCTTTTACCTTATTATCCATAGGGAAAGGGGCATGGGTTGGGCTGGGGATTTAAACACAAGAGAAGATCCTCAAATTAATGGTTTCCCCTTAAGTACATTGAAGTCACTTTTACCTAAAATTTTAGAATTTAATGATGCGAAAAAATTCTAAATACAAAAAAAAAAAAAAAAAAAAA